AGTCACGGAGAAAAACTTTGAACAAGCCCAAGTCGCGAGCTTTTTAGCAGTTTTACACATAAAATTTCGAAGTGCACATGAAAACTTTGTTTGCTGAAATCAAGAGCGCCTTAAAATGTATTCCAAAAAATAGAATTTGTTGATTAGACTCGTTACCGGGACAGAATTTTGAAAATTATTGCGATGCGGCATGCCGCTGCCACTCTGATATTGGACCGGTTTCAAAGTTGCTAATGCTTTGCGATCCATCGGAAGTAACACACCTGTCTGAGTGTTCCTCCATTCCCCTTCTTCCATTTCTTTTTTTTTTGCAACTCTCAAGGAGCCTATTTTCTTCCCAAGGCATTGCACAGCCGCAACTCGCTCTTACTCTTTGCAATCCCTCTGAAACTTCTTACTTCTGCATAGGACCCTGCATACAGTTGTAGGGCGCTCCAAATAGTATTTGCTAGTTTTTCGGGTGAAAAACAGTCACAGTCTCAGAGGTGAAACTCTTTGCTGTTGCTCATCTCAACTCTATGAAAACCATGTTAATTGAGAGGCTTTTCCTTGTCACCAATGTGTTAACTAAATGAACGAAAACACGCCAGACCTTGATAGGACGACATTAGCTAAATCAGGAGAGCAAAACATTAGTAGAAAGACTGCTTCAAAAATAAGTAAACAGGAAGGCTACAAACTTCCGACAATCCATTGCGTCTTCTCGACCCGGCAGGAGGCCTATATTCCCATTACATGCAACAAGTCCTTCGACCTGTACTCCCGGAAGCACACGCGCCTGTCTGCCAGTTCCCTTGAGACGTTTTTACTAGGGTTTGTATACGAATAATAATGGAAATGCACATAAACAATACTGCGAAATTTTTGGTGTTTTCGAAGAAGTCGATTTTGATTAGGGAGTTAATTTGGATCGTAGTCATCCAAATCAAAAAATCTTCCACGTACAACTCCAATCAGCCTCGAAAGTACTAAAAACCTGATTTGTCTATCGGAAATTGCATGGAAAACTTTGCCTCAGAGAAAAATGAATTAGAATAGGTCGGAATAAACGAAACGGAAGCGTTTCTTCCAAAAAGGGCAATTGGGCGGCTTTCGCCGTCTTGTCGTCCGCCGCTAAATGGGAGGCTTTTTCAAAATGGCGTCGTTTTAAAGAAGTATAGCGACATATGATAATCGCGACTGCAAAGGAACGGCATTAGAATATGACTAAAGAAAATGCAAAATCGGCGGTAGAAAATGAATAGTTCAGCAGGAAGTCAGATTTGCTCTTTCAAGCTCCACGGCGAGCTATCGTCCCTTCGCTGGCTAGCTTCGCCGTGGAGGCATGAATAGAGCCAACTGTAGCGGGAACAAGTGAAACTGTACATAAGTTTAGATCAAGGAAACAAAAAGAACCAAAGTAATCGTAATCGAATAACCTGAAAAAACATCAAAACAGCCAATGTCACTCACAGAGCTAATATTTTTCATCGACAGCGCCGACGAGTCAGCCATGTAGCCTGAATACGCCCTCCTGTCCGCTGCTAATCTGGTAGCAGATAAACGATGCTATACTAGCAAATAATCGTTTATCTGCTATCATATATGCGACTAACTGCTGGTAGATTCGTGTAGCACGAATTTGCCGCCAGTTAGTCGTTATATTGTACTATTGTTACTATATTGCTTATCTGCCATCACATAAACTGAAACTCTGGCGCCTTCATGCGGCATGAATCCGCCAGCAGATGAAAAATGACTTCCCACTTTTTCACTTTTCTTCCTTTTTCTCTCATACCTACTATTTAAAAGAATTAATTAGTTGTGATTTTGTTGTGACAAGTCTCGGACGACGCAAAAAATCAACACCTATGGCGCAGTAGTATTTCCAGTTTGTCTGAAGATATGAGAAAGCTTCTAGAACTCATCTTTCAAGTTATCAGGAAAAGGTTCATTCGGCGCCCGTTGACATCCTCCGTGTTCTCTGTGTTGCGCCACGTTCGACTCCCACGCGGAATTGTTGGAAAGGCGTAACTCCTAGACAAGGCTTTCCGTGTAGGCAGATGCACTTTTTCCATTCGGAACGATCCAAACAAATACTCTTTCTTTTTTTATTAATTTGTGACGTCGTGGGCGCCTAGCATATTTCTTGTCATTGCCGTTCCACATGCAACTTGCCTCTGTCCTCAGGTCTTTTTCAGGTGTTCTTCAAAACGTGAATAAATCTTTATTAATTGCTGAATGCTCGGCATTTTAGTATTGCTCCTCTTTCCACTTCTGGATGAGCAGCGCGTTGACGAACCCGCTTCGCCCTCCCTCTTTGGCGGTCAAATACGCCCGCCTCGTGATTTCCACGACGACGGCGTGCTTGTCAGTTACGAGACAGCTAAAACGACGGTCCTGGCACGAAAGGCGAGAGCAGAGGGAAACGGCAGTCTCGACAACTAATCCCTCAGAGGTATCAAGAACGTCGGGAGCTAGGATTTTCTAGAGGGAGCAGGGCACATCTTCCTTGAAGATTATCCAACGGGTGGGTCGTATTTGGTCGCTAGGGAAGGCGGTTATATTTGGCCTGAGGAACTTTTTTTTATAATCGATTTTTCTTGATTTCATGGTTGCCGCGTTGGGGGAAATTTTCCCCATTTGTCGACTTTTCGCGGTTTCTCCTATTTCATTCTATACTCCTCCCCCTCCCGCGGCTTCCCGCTCTGCACTCGATCGCTCAAGAGGGGGAACTGGGGTGGGGGGGGGGGGGGGGGGTCAATAACAAGTCACCTCCTAGGGGGGGGTCGATGGACTCGACGAAAATCCCCAAGCAATGATGTGCCGGAGGAGAGACTGGGGGTGGGTAAGCCACTGGATATGTGTGAAAGGAATGTCTAAGGTAACAGTGATTAAGCATCATCATCATCATCATCATCATCAGCATCAATGAAAGCACGGGGAAGAGCAGAAAGTTGACACCAGTCAGAGGTTTGTGTTTGAGTTCTCCGTAGACCATCACATACGAGTGGGAGCCATGCTGCCATGACCTAGTAGAAAAGAGGGCTCCATCTGCTAGCTAGGGTAAGCTGATTTGCTGATGCCAGTGTTAGATTACACCTCGTTTCCTGGAACGGTTCACGGCTCCAAAGTCTTGAAGGCAAGTGGTACGAGCCTAGGATAAATACGTCTAGCAGGACAGAATTCCGCACCCCTGAGCAGGAGCTGTGTGACGCCTTTTCCAAAGGAGGTACTCTTATAGCGTCCTATCATGCTGCAACATACCAACCCCCTGGGAAAAAAAAAAAAAAAAAGGGCCCACGGCGCCCGCCTGCCCATAATGTCCGATAGAGATGCTCGTATCGCTTCATTTGGGAAATATTACATGCGATAAGGAGATTTGAAGTGGCTGCGATGTTGCATGGATAGATGAGTGCAAACGTGCCGCCACTAGCGTCTCCATTCGTCCAAGAGTTGGCTCAAGCGTGGACTCTGCTCTCACTCTGCTGCTCGAGGACACAATGAACTTCATACTATTCGTTCAGACCATTCACGAAGAAGTCTGACCAACCCGCAGGCAGTCGTCCAGGTGTTCGCTTGACATCCCGTGGAATCCAGTCACTAATCGCTCCGGTACAGCAGTCGTCCTCGAAACGCATGACGTGCCCCGCCCACCTAATCTTCGAAAGCCTTGACAAATGCGAAGGCTTCTCTGATCTTCGATCGTCGGCGGAGTGCGGAGCTTCAGATTCCTTCTCTCACTTGCGTGTAGCGGGAAACTCCGGGCATCGCCTTTTCGATGGCGCGTTGAATAATGCCAACCGCATGCTCATCCTGCTTTCGTAGAGTTCAAGACTCTCAGGCGTAAGTCAATTAGAAACAAAGTATTGGAAGAAGAAAACACTCCAAAACGCAGATGGTCCGTTTCGCCTGTTATCCCCAGACGAACCATCATTGTCTCGCCAACCCCCAGGCTCCTCAGTGGAGTAAGGTTGGCAAAACAAAGCAGGAAGGACTGCGGAATCGAAGAAGTGGGCACGGAGCCCGGTGTTCTTCGTCTTCTTCGCTACTCCCTCGATGCTCTTGAAAGCTCCCCAAGCCGCTCGCATTCCTCCTGCGCAGCTCTCGTGCTAAGTCATTATTATATTGATTTCAACGGACTATGGTAGCACATGGCATCCAGAGCATTCAGAAGCTGGTCGTCCGTTGAGGCGTGAATGGGGCGTCAGAGAAAGCGCAAGCGCGTTCCTCAATGAAAACATCGTCCTTTCGTTAGGCAATTCAGGCGCGTAGACGATTTTTCGGCCACAGCGCGCAGTCGAACATCACTCAGCAGTCTTTCGCTTGCTCGTATGTCTGGCATTAATTAAGCGTACGCACAATACGCAATGGGAAACTGCGTACGAAAATGGCTGTATGAACGAAGGCCTTTTTTGCGAGTTTTTGCCCGTTCTCTTCCCCCTTTTTCCCCACTATATAGCACAGCTAGAGCAGCACGTTAGACCGAGAAATGAGTTGTCGTAATATATGCCTTTAAAATGAAGACGTAAACAAATGATTTTTATTTAACAGTAAAACCAACACATCTTGAGGCATGGAAGACAAAACAAAAACGGCCAACTCAGAAAAAGACACATGGCCGCCTCAACAACTCAGGGAACATTAAGAGCATTAAAGAAAACACAAAACAGTCAAGTGCCGCCACGGGAACTAAAATTTAAAGCGACATTACTGCTCTAACAAAGTGAAGCAAAGACCAGCGAATATGAACGACGTCTCGCAGAGCTCTCGGATCTTACTCTCGTAGAGCTTTAACAAAATTCATGAAGCGATTATGTCTTGGTACTTTTTTCTTGCAGATTAGTCTGAAACAACAGGCAGATATTCTTCATACCAGTTTATAGAAAGGATTTGCAATGATGTCCCAGCGCCAGTGCCAGATATGAGATGTGGAGGGGAGAAATAGTGGAATTACGAGAAAGGCACCGGCACCAGGATTACAGTTGTTAGCGAAAGGTGCGGAATTAGAGGTAGTTTGATCATTGAGCGCCCGCTTTTTGCTGACGAAGCTTCACTCCGTAGTTGTGCACATGAGCGATGTTCACTTCAGTGGTGGTGATCTGATCCTTGACGAACGTCAACTCTGACGTCAGTTCATCGACTGCCTAAAATAGGGTGCTAAATAATTAGAAATTGAAACTTAGGCTGATATAGCGATAAAAGAGGTCAACGAGAGACTGCGGAAATGTTTCAATATTTGCACAGCCTAAGAGCGAAGAGTGATATTGTGACAAGTGGCGCCGCATAGTACGGGCACGGTCAGAGGAGACCAGATACCGGATCGGTTCACGCCTGAGACAACCAGGCCTTCCATCCTTTTCTGATGGGGTTGGTCGGTAGCAGAATCGTCTGACAAAATAAACGCTCCACAGTTCATGTAGACGCCGAGTCGCATTCACAGCTGCATTCACAGCTTCCGTAAGGCGCTGGAGCACGGTATTTTCGGAATCCTGCAAAACAGGCAAGAATTCACGTCAATACCCTCCCCTCTGAACGACAGTGGCTCTCTTGGAGTAGAGCAATTGGAAAGAAGGCCAGAGAAAGCACTCTTTTCACTCATTCTAAGGTTGATGTACCCTTTCCTTTAGGAAACGAACTGCTTGCGCATCAATAGCAGGCTTCGAGTCAAAGCTAAAGTATCCCTCACCGCAGGATGGAACTTCTCGTAATAATATAATCCTTTCGTCGTCGACTGATCTCACTTCTCTACTGCTTCATGTATCTTGACTCCTAAGTAGTGGCGCAAGGTGTGTCTTCCAAGCATTGTTTACCCGGAAGATGTGTCCCTAGGATATTATAAAGGTCCAGAACCTTACTCTTTTTGGTCACTCTTCAGTGCTGACCTCTGCGCTTACGATGAACTCGCTGTGGGTTCCACAACAATGATGTACCTTGGCTCTGATCCAGACTGACGCATGAAAACGCCTTCTACTGGAGATGTGGTGCAGGGGATAGTGATATTGTACCCCACGTACAAACCCTGTAAAATCAATTCGAACCCAACCCATCCAGCCGACCCAAACCTGCTATTAGCCTCCGATTCGTCTGAAAACAGAAAAACGGAATATTCTCTGGCCGTGCTAACCATTGCATAGAATAATGTGCATGCAACCTGCGCATTCAAATGAAATATGAATGGTGTGAATAATATTTTCGCATTTCCTAACGATTCCATGACCTCGAAACCATCTAAATACAATTGCTTCTGCGAACATACCTTCTGCACGCTTCCCTGGTTTTTCACCAGTAGTTCTTTTGCCTTGTCGAGCTCATATTCGACCATAATACTTGCACCCAACCAAATCGATACCTGGAAGTTTCATAATGAAAGCTTGTGTGGAACAACTCCAGGAAGGCAAACACCTTTACAAGGACTAAACTTCGACAAACCTTTTCCGGTTTTGGTACTGTGGCTTTAGTATAGACTTCCTCGGCCACCAGGTATGTCGTTTCGAATGGTTCCTCTTTCTCCTGAAGCAGGAATATTGGTGAAAGTTATATACGAACATAAAATCGCGAAGAATTGCTTGACTGAGACTCTGAGGGTAGCGCACTTATGAGTGGATGCTTAATACATACGCCTCGGTCCGGGGGTTAAACCCAGGGTATGCCCCCCCCCAACTAAGGCTTCTATCCCTTCGGGACGGTCAACGGTCAAAGCATACTCGTCTATGAATGAATTACACATCGATTGAACCCCCACAAGTCACTGTTTAGAGCATAGCAGAGAATAACCCCTGCGATTTTCAATGGAAGTAGAATGCGTGCCGCATCCCAAAAGGAATCGACCAACGCCGAAAGCTTTATTCTTTTCAATGATAACTGCGTTTCGCCAGTTTGTTATGGACGCAAGCCTTCACCCCAGCTGAAGATCTCTAATCTGGATCTGAAGCTCATTAGACCGGCAAGCGCGAATCCAGGTTTCAATCCTGACTAGAGTTGAATTTTTTGAATTTTCCCCACAATTCAGCATTTTTGTGATAAAAGAATTAGTTGTTTCATTATGAGAGCAAACCTTCTTGTCAATAAGCACATCGAGCAAGGCGAGACTGTTCTTGAAATCCGGAAGCTTCTCCGCCATTCTGGAAATATTAATTTCCACTATTCTATAAATCTACATGCTGAATCACTATGATTTCTCTCTTCTGAATGCTTACTCCGCAAATATCAAAGTGTCCAAACTCTTCCTTATGTAAGCAACCCATGCCATCAACCGCCGGGGAAGTGCCTTTTTCGAGGTTCGAAAGTGTGCTACCTCACCTTCTCGGCCTATGCGGTCTATGTCAGTCCCTTCCCCATCATGCTCCGTCGCCCACCGTTTTCTAGCCTCTTTCGCGCTGTTCGGTACATCGT